AATCAATTTATGACTCTATTAGCTTAAGAAATGGAGATCAATCATCGAAACAAACCTACCGTACTGAGAACAATCTTTTGTTTCGAGTTCAAAGAGATTGCTATGGGAATGAGGAAAAAATGCTAGCAGTGCCGATGGAATTCCGGATGAAAATCTGAGCATTATGCCACGACGGAACTTAGTGTCATTTGGAGGTTACAAAATCGAAGGATAGGCGTTAAGGGTATTTCTTTTGGCCTGGTTGCTATAAGGAAATTGAAGGTTACGTTCATGCCCGTGATAAATGTTAATGAGCCGGGAGACCAAATGTAAGGAAGAAAGCACCTTTGAAACTAGTGCCTGTGATTCAAGAAATTTTTTCTAAATTAAACAGTGACGCAGTAGGCCTCCTTGCAGTTGAGTTACAGGAAAACATTACATAATAACAGCCATATGCTTGTTGTCTAAATACCCTGACGCTATTCCAGTAAGTGAATTGAAGTCAGTGATGGATGCCCTGATTAATATTTTTAATCGAGTGGATTTTCCAAAAGAAATCCAATGTGCTCTCAGATGCTCTTTTGTAAGCGCACTTAGTATGGAATTTTTCGACAGGTTTGGGATTAAAGTTAGTTTGGTTAGCCACCCCCAATCAAATCTGATCGTACGTTTCACTAGAACAATCAAACGGCTCTTATGAGCTCTATGTCTGGATGTTGGGATGGATTGGGAAAAACACCTTCCCTCAGCATTGTTTGCCTTATGAACAGTAACCCATGAAAGCACAGGATTTTTGCTTGTCAAATTAGTGCATGGTAAGAGTTTAAGGACAGCTGAAACCTTATTTGAGCACTGGAGCAGCAGAATGAAGAAAATTCAGTAACTCCATATGTTTTTGAACTAATTAATAGATTAAAACGGTGTTAGGAGATTGCAGCGGAAAAAATGGAAGAACTGAAAATTAAACATAAGATATGGTATGACAAAAATGGTGTGAATTCAAAAAAGGGGATTTAGTATTGGTTTTTGTTACATCGACACCGAATAAGCTCATAGTTCAGTGGTTGGGGAGCCAAGAGTTATCAAAAACAAAATATCGAACACAAATTACATTGTAAAAATGTCTGCAAAAAAGTCTCACATTTATCATGCTAATATATTAAAATCCTATTATAAAAGACCAGAGGAAATCAATGCCTTATCATCTGAGAGTAAGAATGAAGAAGGTGCGGATCAAAATGTAGATTTCTCGTATCTAGATCCAACTCCTAACATTTACGACTTCATAGAGATCACCCAATCCAGCAACTTAGGAGAGTGGTTGGAACCTCACCAGGTAGATCAGTTAGGAGACTTACTAAGGAGATTTTCTAAGAGTTTCTCCAAAAGAGCTGAGAATCAAGGAATTAGTAGTGCATAACATTGAATTAATAAATGATAAACCAGTTAACGACAAACCATACCGTAGGATAGGGAATCAGATAACCGGCTGAGGCAAAAGTTAAGGCAGTAGTTGATTATTCCACGCCAAAAACCAAAACTCAAATAAGGGCATTTTTAGGTTTGGCTGATTATTATAGCAGGTAAATTCCCATGTTTTCAGTTATAGCTTCTCCACTCATGAATGCCTTAAAAGGGAAAGCAAGAAAGGAGGAGATTCTTCAGACAAAAGAATGCGAAAGTGCATTTAAAGAGTTGAAGGGAAAATTAATGAAGGAACCTGTGCTACATGCACCAGAGTTTACTAGAGTTTCTGGTACAAACTGATGCTTCTGATTTAGGGATGGGGGTGGTGTTAGTGAAGTTGGATGAGAACAATGGCGAACATCACATCTTGTACTTAACAAAGGAGTTTTCAGTGACGGAAGCTAAGCACAGTACAACTGAAAAAGAATGCGCATGCATATTTTTTGCTGTAAAAAACTGCATTATTATTTGGACGGTCCAAAATTTACTGTAATGACTGACCACAACCCCTTAGTTTGGTTAAAAACTAATGCAGGCTCTAATCCCAGGCTAACGCAGCTGTATAATTTTCAAGTTATTCATCCAGCTGGAAAGAACCATAAAAATGTTGACAGTCTAAGCAAGTCTGAAACTTCAAAAATTTTGGCTTTAATTTGTATTTATCTTGTACTTGTAAATTTTAAGTATTTTAATTGTGTCACTGGTCTTGATGTAATATCATGGTGCTTCTATGTTAATTTCTTTTTCTATATGTGTGTAACTAACTCTTTATCCCAACCAAATATACTTAAAATATTTTGATGAGCAAAATGTTTCTTCGAAGAAGAAGGAGCTATAATGTCTCTTTTCTCTGAAGAACACTTAGTCACCCACCCTAAAAGAAAGGACAGAGAACCCTCTTCTCGACTCGGTTGGAAGAGGACTTTCCCTTCGGTCGCAGGTGCGAATTAGAAGAGATTGAGATGTAGAAAAGAAAAGAGCAGAAGTGTTTTTGTGCACTCCACCATTTATGTATTTTTACTCCATTAAAAATGTATTTTTAAAGGTTTTTCTCAAATGTAATCTATATATAGTTTTATATATATATATATATGTCATGAGAAAAGAAGTAGTCAATGAGGGAAGAAGAAGGTACGCTAGTACTAAAAGTAATAAATTAGCACAATATTCAGCTTGGAACAGGTCTTATTTATTTGACGATATTGCTTACAGCTCAAAAGAATTTTTGACAGGCCGAAACATTGAACTGATGGGTCATCCGTCATATAGCCCTGATTTGGCACCTAATGATTTTTTTTTAATGCATGCAAATCAAAAATAAATTACATGATCAGTAGTTTGTGACACTCAAAGAAGCAACTGATGTATTCAAAACACATGTTTTGGATTTAACTCAATCGGAGTGGAAAATAGTGCTTCAAAAATTGGTTCAAACACATACAAAAGTGTACTGATCTTCATGGAGAATATTTTGAAAAATAATAAAACAATTTTTATCCTAAACATTTTTTTTATTATTATTAGGCCAGAAATATAAATAGCAACCCTCGTATTGTTCCAATTTATAACTGCCTTGTTACATAACTGCTCTTTGACCGATTCAATAGTCATTAATTCATGGCACCTGCTATAGATAGATGAATGAGTGCAGAACCAGCGAATCACATACCTTTCCAAACCAATACCCACTTTTCACAAGTCTTAATACAACACAACCATATTGTGGACGTTAATACAGTCAAAAGTTGTTAATCCGGACTTGTCAGGACTTCAGCGATTCCGGATTATAGATCATCAGTTTAAATCTCGTAAGATGGCATGCAGAAAATCTAAAATTAAAAATATGAAACCGTAATTTATGAAATAAAGAACAATTCTGATCTAAAAAATATCAAAATTTACAAAAAAAAAAAAAAAAAAAAAAAAAAAAAAAAAAAAAGCTTAATATTAGTTTGTTTACTTTATTAAACATTTCTTTCAATGTAAGTTGTTTTGTTTTAGGTGATAATACTTTCTTTTTAATTCTATAAACAGACATAATTTCTTGTTCAGTTACAAAGTTCTGTTGTTCAAGTCCTGTAATTGCTGTGCCGAGAATACCGACTAACTTGTCAATCGGAATTTTTTCGTTTTCGCTAACCTCTCTGTCACCTTCTTCATATCTTTATCCATTTTTTGCAGCAATTCCACTTTTTGTTTGATGGACATCGAAACATACTTTCGCTTTGCAGATCCTTTGGGAGCTCCAGCATCGGAAATTCTATTTCACATAATCGAAAGTTCAAGTTTACTTTTATAAAATTGCTCTAACAGTCTGCAAAAAATAATAAGCCGCATCCAATTCGGAGATTAAGGAACAACGCAATCATCAACATTAACTGAAATAGATAATTAGATAATTTTAGCTTATACCGTCCATTATACATTAAACGCGCACGCAAAAACGTATTCTGCGCTTGTGCACACGCACAGTCGTAAAGGTCTTACGCGCACGCGTAAACGCCTATGCGCATGTGTCAACGCAGCGCATGTGCAGAAAGTTTTTAGCTTTGAGGTTCGGATTATAGATCATTCCGGATTACGGGTGTCCGAATTAACGACTTTTGACTGTATGAATTTTGGATGCTGGTAGGATTGCATATTTTCAAAAATATTTTATCGTATTCTGTTCTGTGACGGGTTGGTACCAAATTTTAACAATTTTTTCCTAAAATGTGAGGACAAAGAACTGAGTGGAAAAACAAAGCTGATAAAACTTTTGTTTAAAGAAGATTACACTAAACCAAATGTTTCTGAAGACAAGCTTCCTAATATTGGCAAAAAAAAAAAAAAAAAAATCCCATTTTTTTTTTTCTTTTTTTGGTGAATATTGTTGTTGGGATTGTGCATAAGTACTTAAATATGATGTCAAAATACAATTAAAAGATCTCTGCTTTCATTTTATCCAAACCTAATTAATTCTCGATAAGCTGGTTTAGTTTTTGTAAAGAAGAATATAAGATAACAGTTATTTACAGTGGCTCCCAAAAGTATTCGTACCTTATGATTTTGTATATATGTGTATACCATATGTGACGTTATTTGAAAATAGATAAATAATGACAGTGCAACGTGAAAAGTATTGCCAGCTTGAAAAACATTTTAAGTCTTGAGCTATATCCACATTTTACACCTGTTGATTATTAAATTAAATAAAGAATGATTTATTCTTTTTAAACTCCAACCAATATAACTGGCACAAATTTGGTAACATATCTGCCAACTTTTGGAGTTGATGGGATTTTATAATCAGATAAGATGTTTCACTTTCACATGTTTAGGGCCTACAAAATGTTTAAAATGTTTTTTTTTTTTTTTTTTTCAAAAATCTTACATAATTTTAAGTGTTAACTTCTAATATCCAATATGATAAAAAAGTGAGATGAACATTTTTATGAATTTTCATTGAAAATTTCTTCTATTCATTTGCTTTAATAATTAAAAAGTTAACAAGGAGCTGCATAAGTAATAAAATGTATTTATTTAACTTCATTTTGAGAATCACATCTACTTACCCAACATTAGGCAGACCAACTAAACCAACTTTCAGATTTGTGCCTATACGTCCTAATAAAGGTGGACGTTCTACCTCTCCATCTTTCTTCTTTGGAGGCATTGTGGATGTACAATTCTTTTAATGTAACCACTTTATTAAGAAACTAAAATGCACATTAAAAGTCATTTACTAATAATATTCAAAAATCTTACAAGCTATTAAGCTATATTATACACAGTATTCTACAAGCTATTAAGCTATATTATACACAGTATGATACTGTATATTTTGCTTCTGCTATTTTGATATTAAAGTACACATGTGTAGTTTTGACAGTGGTTTAAGAATCACATTTCATGGTGGCATTTCCATTTTAAATCAGATATTTTTTTACAGACAAAGTATTAATTCAACTAGAAAGACATGTCTATTGCAAAATTACCAAACGTATGCCACAAACACTTAGTAAAACCTGCATTTATGTCTTCATGGCATCTTGTGAAAACTGCCATCTGGTACGCCATGCCAAGACAATATACATGGCCCCTGCTTTTTTGAAAAAAATCATGGAAATGGAAGCCTGCAAGATATTATTTGGAATTTAATTACCTTACTGCAGCAAGACAAATGACACTCCTGCATACAGTACGAAAATAATGCAACATACTGAACAACAGATTCCACAATGATAATAGTGTCGGAGTTTTATTGTGTTAGAATCAGGTTTACAGTCTAAAGTTATTAATAACTATAGTCTTAGATCTCCAAATCTTACAAGTATAGACTAGATTTTACGACACTCAAAGTAGTACATTAAAGATGAAAAGCATCGCTGCTACCATGCACAGGGTAGATAAGAAAAAGTTCTGCAGTGTTACTACTAATATAGTAAAATATGTAGATATATACACTATACAGTATTTCTCTTGCACTCTTAGCATACCTTCGTGGTGTGGGGGTCTGCACGCTGGACACTTATTCCAGAGGTCCTATTAGTTCAATTCCTGGCGAAGGCGCTGGTTATTTTTCGTGAATCCTTCTTCCCCCCCCCCAAAAAAACCCTAATGTCTCTACAGTGGTGCCTGAACTAAAAGGGTGGTGAATGATGATTCTCCACAGCCAGGATTTGGCAATTGGATTCCCTAAAACACCAGTTGCCCTTTAAAAGGGGGAGTATATAAGGTATTTCTCGCGTCTTCTTAGCATACCTTCGTGGTGTGGTGGTCTGCTTGCAGGGAGCATATTTCACAGGTCTGTGGTTCAATTCCAGGCGAAGGCGTTGCTCATTTTTCATAACTTCTACTTCCAAAAAAAAAAAAAAAAAAAAATACCTAATATCTCTACAACACTAAAGTGGAAAGATATCATTTTTAAAAAATGCTGTAGGTAAGGTGTCTCATAAACATGTATGTTTTATGTTTCTGAGAAGAGTCCACTTTTAAGTTGAACACTCTATATAAGTATTACAATGCTTAGTAATCAACTAGTTCCATAAAAATTTTACAATAGATCAGCAACATATAGAAATTTAAGGTTAGTCCATATTTTAGGATGCCCCTTGGATTATCGCCAAGTTGTTGTTTCATTTATCATCAAATTGTCGTTTCATTTATGGTAACCTGAGTAGTTGAATGTTATGGAAACCCTATTATGACACAATTGGTTTGGTGATTGCAGTGAATTTGACTGATGGCACAATATTTGTAAGGGCTTATTTCTGCATTTGGATGTCAGTTAGGAAATACTTTGTTTATCTTGTGCTGTACACCGTATAATGGCTGTAGTTTCTGTATGATTTGGAACAAAAGGGAAAAAAGCATTAACTGACCGGTGTGTAAATGAAAGTTTACTTAGTAGTCATTATAAGTGTCCTGTTTGTATGAAGGAAATGCATATGGTTGAAGATAAAGATCGTTCAGGTGGCTTCGTCGCAAGAAATGACACTGACAGTCTGTCAATATGGAGATTTTTTACTCTTATTTTTGTGAATTTATGTGGTGATAGCAGTATGCATATTTTAGTTGAGATAATTTTAGAAAGTTTTTGGATGCTGTTAAGGAATTTTGTGTGCTACAGACTGAAGACACATTTCTAAATATGGTAAGCCAATATTTCCTTTTTCTAGAGTGTATATATAACATATACAGTCAAAAAGTCTTTAATCCGGACATCCATAATCCGGAATGATCTATACTGGATCTATCCGGAATGATCTAGCTGGACCTCAAAGCGACAAACTTTCTGCGCATGCGTTGTATAATGGAAGGTATAAGCTAAGCTAAAAGTATCTAATTATCTATTTCAGTTAATGTTGCAGATTGCGTTGTTCCTTAATCTTCGAATTGGATCCAGCTTATTATTTTTTACAGACAGTTAGAGCAATTTTATAAAAGTAAGCTTGAACTTTCGATTATGTCAAAAAGAATTTCCGATTCTGGAGCTGCCAAAGGAAATACAATGCGAAAGCATGTTTTGATGTCCATCAAACAAAAAGTGGAACTGCTGCAAAAAAATGGATAAAGGCATATCCTTTGTTTCTCTAACCATTCCGAAATCTGTTTATCAATTTCATGCTGCTCTTGGGGGGGGGACGCCGCGGCACGCAATGAACTGTAATTTGATCTGTCAGCACTATCCTTATCTTCAGGACAGATGTTTTTATTTTATTCAGCTTATAATTCCTTACTAAATGTAGTATTTCATCTCGATGTACTCTGTCTTTGATATGATTTAAATCAAATTCCTCATCATTATAAATATCACGAATACACATCAAATAGTTTTCTGGTTGCAATTTTCTAATTTCGACTATGCGTAACGTATGTATGCTTTACGAATGCGTGAGTTGAAAGAAATGTTTAATAAAGCAAACAAATGAATATTAAGCTTTTTTTTTTTTTTTTTTTTGTAAATTTTGATACCCTTTAAGATTATAATTGCTCTTTATTTTATAAATTGCGGTTTCATATTTTTAATTTTATAATTTCTGCATGCCATCTTACCAGATTTAAATTGATGATCTATAATGCGGAAAAACCGATAATCCGGAATCGCCGAAGTCCCAAAGAGTCCAGATTAAAGACTTTTGACTGTATATCCTTTTTTATGTTATTTCATTGTGTGATTTAAAATGCAGTTTATTGAGCTTCAATTGGCTACAAATTTTGGTGACAAGTAACTTTTTTAACATTATATGACGCCATCCTTCTCCTGATTTTTTCAAGTGACAATAGATCGATGTGTACATGGACAATGTCAAGGGCCGAGTTTGCGCAACTCTCTGATGTTTTTTGAAGTGAAAATAAATCGATGTGTACATGGACACTGAGTTTGTGCAATTCTTTGACTTGTTATTTTGGTTTATGTAGCTGCCATCTTGAAATTGTGCCTTGCTGGCCAATCGCCAATTTTTGCCAAGGAGCAGCCGGAAATACATTTTTACTGAATTTAATATTAAATCAGCTTCTATCTAAAATAACTACCAAAATAAAATGCTTGAAATACATAAAAACCTAATATTAAATACAATCAATATAAAAATTACACAAACTACTAAAGACATGTAAATTCAAAGCAAATTTGAAACTTAATGAAAAAATGGTTGATCCTTAGATTATGGTAACTTGGCGATTTTTTGGCAAAAATTTGGCGACCAACTCTCCTACAGCAACCCTCTATTTTTTTTTTCCCTCCGCCATCTTCACGAAGTAAAGACATGTTTCCTTTCTTTTTATCTACTGAACACTTCTTCCAACAATCTACTAGCCGAATTACACTTATGCTAGAAATTTTATCTAACAAAACTGCTTAATCATGACAAATATTCACTGCAAAATTGGGAAAAAGTGCACAATACCATACTTCTTATGCGTTTTTCAAAATAACACATACACATAAACCATGTACACGTCGACTTATTTTTACTTAAAAAAACATCCCAGAATTGCACAAAAATGGCATTGCGCACACTCTTCACTATATCCATGTACACTGCTTTTTTCTCATAAATTAAAAAAATTTCACGAAAATGCATAACAATTTTCTGAATCTTTAAACCCGGTAAAAAGAACATATATGAAATTACCTGATCACGAAAAAGTACATACCCTTTCCAAATATGAACATTTCCCCGTATAAAATAAATAAAATATCCAAAAACTTTTACCTCTACATTATCTATTATATTACAAACGTCACTAACTAATTCATACCTTTACTTCATTACAAATGGTTACAAATACTTAGTGTCAAATATTTAAATTATTTCCATGCACGTTTACGCAAATTACTTTCCTTCCACCTTACATTTAGAACAATGCATAAAAATAATATTCTCAAATAATTAAAAATACTAACTTACCTATTCTTCTTCAGAATCTTGATTATGTGTCCGATAAACTTTTCTTATTTCTATTTCAGGATCTTTAAAATCATACTTATAGTTCACACCAAGGTACCAAGTAAAATAAATAACTTAATAAAACATCTTTACTTCTATCTCGCACAACCTTAAAGAAACACTTATTACCCCTTTCAATCCCACTAAATACCCATTTCGAATTCACTTTAGTTAGGGCCATGGGATCCAAAAATTAACGAACACTGTTTCACACAACACAGAATAAAGGCAAATACAAAATTTCCAGATTTTTTCCCGATTTCCCCTCTTTTCCGATTAAAGAACCGTAATTCATCCATTAATATCACATGATCTCTCATTTCCCTCACACAAAATAATGCGTAATCGGAACTGAGTACTGCTCACATTATTACCAAAGTCCCAGGTAGTAACCTTTATCGCCTCCAAAATGTCGCCAAACTACCAGTACCATATTGTAAAGATCAGCCTATTTTTATTTCAATTTAATCATGTATTTATGTCACACCTGCCATCCTCTGAAAGGTTATTGTTAGAAAAGCATTAACAATATATTATCTTGTTAAAATTTTACGTAATAAAAATTGATTTATTCTCATAATTTTAGATGACAATAACCAATAATAAAAATAAAAGCATTACTTAATTATTTAAAATGCACATGCACATTTTTGCGGCCTACGAAAACAAATTATTTTAGGGGGTTGGAAACCTGATGGTTCTGTGCGCTTACAGCTGTTAATAATTAAGAACACAACATGAACAGCCATGTTACAAATTAGCATTCACCCCTCCCGCCATATTTATCCAGTTATTGGCTAATCTTTGGAATATGGTAACATGTAGTTAGACGACATTTTGGTAAGGCAATAAAGGTTACTAGGTAGGACTTTAGCAATAATCTGAGAAGTACACAGTTCGAAATATAGATTATTTTGTCTCAGAGAAATGAGAGATCATGAGACATGTCATGTGACATTTTCCGGAAAATTCCCATCGTGATTTAGCTAATAAGCACTTAGAAATAATTTCGCTGCTAAAGTGCAGAATCGCCCACTTATTTGCTTGGCACTTTTTACAAGAGTAAGAAGAATTTTATTTTTGTCAATTTTCTTTTGACTTTTTAAGTGAAAATAGGTCGATGTGTACATAGATAAAGTCAAGAGTGTGCGCAATGCCATTTTTGTGCAATTCTGGGATGTTTTTTTAAGTGAAAATAGGTCGACGTGCACATGGATACCGCGTATGTGCAATTCTTAAAAACGCACGAAGCAGTGGGCAATTCTGCACTTTCTTCCAATTTTGCACCTAATCTTCATCCTGATTACGCACTTTAGTTCCATAAAAGTTCTAGCATAAGCGTAATTTGGCTAGCAGATTGTTGGGGGGAGGGAAACATGCCTTTACTTCGTAAAAACAAAATGGTATCAAAAAAAAAAAAAAAAAAAAACTAGCAGGTTGCTGTAGCAGGGTTGGTCTTCAAATTTTCGCCAAAAAATCGCCAAGTTACCATAATCTGAAGATTCACCCAGTTATTTTCTGAGGTATGCAGGAATACCAGAAGAAGAATAATACCTAACTCATCATAACACATATAAATTTAGATATATCAGAATTGTGGAAATTTGGAGCACAAGAATTAACAGTTAATATAAAAAAGTAAAGAATAAATTCCATAAAGATGGTGAATTAAGATAAATTTTCCTTTATTTATAATCAAATATTAACATCATCTATATGTTAAAATTAAAAAAACTTAATAATTTACTGATGACTATATAAACCAATTTCATTAAAAAAATGGGATGAAAAAGTCAATAACTCTGTGGAGACTGACAGTACAAAAAACTGAGTATCCCTGGAAAAAATTCACACATTTTGAAATTCCTGATAATAATTTTACATTGTATTCATGTTTGTTAATGTATATTAATATACATGTAAAGCAAGTAACTAAAAAAGGAACTTTAAAAAGTAGTGTATAACAAGAATTTTAGCATAATGAGATAGTATAGATATTTGAAGTGAACAAAAATATATATTTAATGCAATTTTTGATCATGAGTTACGTTAATATAAATTACATAACCGAATCAATAAAAGAACATTAAAGAAGTAGGTCTTCATAGAATTTAACACATTTATTTTTTTGTTTTCTGAGCTATAGATGATTTTCCAGTACAAGCACTTTTTATATAAAAAATTATGCACGATTTGAGCTGTTTCATAGAACTAACGCATTCAAACTTGTCATCAGACTAGTATTCGACATGTATATTTGTCTGTAATTGGCCAGGTATACAGCTTGGATTTTACCATCTATTTATTTTTTACTTCTATCATAATTATGCCTCCGATTTAAATTAACACGCTACAATTACTCACCGAAAACACTCCAACGTGACAGAATCCCAGTTACGGTCCTGACTGTTAGGGACAGACAAGACAGCAAATGACTTGTTTTGCACCCATTAGGTCTTTCTATCCGCAGGGTGAAAATTCAAGCTTAGGTTCAAGGAAAGACAAATAAAAAGAGGGACATTTTGTTTGACAGAAAAGTAAGTTCGTTGCGTTTGATACGAAATTGTTAAAACCAGGTAAAAAAGGTGTATTAAAAAATAAGGCTAAGACTAAACAAAAAATAATAACAATTATAAGCCCAAATAAGATCGAGAAAGAGATGAAAGAGAAGAGTGAAGAACACCTAACCATGAATGTGTCCTAGCCATAGGTCCTAGCATTCAATGAACGATGTGTCAAACATTGGAGAAGTCCATGTGACTTATCACCTAATCATGAAGGTCCTAATATGCTGTTTTGAATAGATAAATAAAAAAAATAAATAAAAAAAAAAAAGGATTAAAAAAATTTTAAAAATGTGGCGGATGTTTCGTTCCAGTAATTGAGCCCCTGAACATTTGCTTCTGATCAGAGGAAAAAACGAAACTAAGATCCTCTGATCATGAGTGGGGAGCTTTAAAAACTCTTTAAGTGTGTTTGAGCTAATTAAAATCGCTTTCAAAAACCAAAGGAAAAAATCTGATGTGTACACCACATGGCTTCCTTGTACGGAATATTAAATTATATGCAATTGTTCTTGCATTTCGTTTAAACTTATTGGATAGAATTAAATCTACTTCGCCGACAGCGCATAACCACAATAGAATAAATGCACTCTTTAAAATTCCCTATATTTGTTCACCATAGCTATACTCTGGTGCTAGGTTCACTTAACAGTATTATATTTCGTTCATATTATATTTTGACTTACTTTTTTCTGGTCATTAACTGCTGAAGAGTTTTCGCCAGTAGATCGCATTAAAGCGCACTAGGCAAATATATTTCCAAATAAATGGTACTAGGGAAGTACCAACACCCGTGGGCGAAGAAAATTCAGCTGCGTGAGCAGGCACATCTTAATACTTACGAAAGTAGGCGTTCATCATAAAAATTGTGCAGTGATAAGAAATGACATTAAAGCATGCAGAGAGGTGCAATGAGTTATATAGGAATATCAGATGGTGAGTGCATATAGCTAGTAAGAGTGCAAAATAAGCAGTAGTGAGACATCATGAAAATGGCGCGAAGACAGTTTGAAGCTGTGAATGGCACAAGAGTTTCTTGTCACTTCGCGACAAGTCCTTCAGAAGTATGCAGTAGCTAGATAGGCCGTAAAAAGTTCAAAAGTTCATAGAATCATACGATAAAGTAAAAATTCATACAAAATAATTAAAAAATGAAATAGTAACATAAAAATCATGAAAAAAAAAAGTTTCTTAGCATAAGTATAAGATGAAACACAAATAATAGGATAGAATCCAATTTCAGAGTTCAAGTAAATTTTAAAATTAAAATTTACAAGCTACCACCATGACGAATTGTGATGAACTGTCCTTGGGCTGAGTTTTGATTTTTTGCCGATAATAGGGTAAATTGCTACTTAGGATGCATTTGCTTTGTTTAAGATGTAAGAAATATAATTTTTGAAGTTGAGAGAATTATCTATGCAAACACATAAATATTTGTAGGAATTAGCTACAGGGACTAGAGTTCTATTGTTGTACTTTTCCAGATAATCTTAAATATCTTGACATTGTTTTATGACACCTTTCGCATTGAAATAGGAAATTTTTAAACAGCTATTGATAACTGAAATCATATTATAACTCAGAATGCACAAAATTTATATCATTTAAATAATGATCTAATCGTTGCCACGTGTTCTATTCAAATACTATAATAAAGCTAGAACGATGTATAAAAGAAATTAAGAAAACAAAACAAAAAAGGTTTTCACAGACGATTGAGTATTTCTCATTCAATTAATTAGTTCTCACTTCGCGACAAGGGAAAAATACATAAAACTCAAATATCTGTATAAAATTACGAAGTAAATCTTAACACTTATTCTCGAAAAATTCCAGACAGATTAGCATTTAATTCGCGATAATAAATGAAGGCGTTTTATCTTTGTTGTTGCGAGGCTAAATTTCTCTAGATTAAAAACAAATCTCCTACTCTGCTGTTTCAAATGTAAACAAGCAATGGGCGCCATCAAAACGTTATTAGGCTTAGCGGCACTTAAACAACTTTAAAATGTTGATAATTCTCAAATATTGCATACAATATTAAAGGCATAAAATCCTTAACCGAAGATAAGAACAACAAATTCAATCATTTTTAAAGACAAAAAATGTACAATTATAACATAAAAGCAAAGAACTGAGATCATTGAGCCGGGTACAGAGTGGATGTATTTATAATATATTTTATATACCTTTGGCGCGGCCGATTGCAACCAATATACGAGGTGCACATCTACATGTTATAGTAGTCCTATATACAAAATTTCAACGTTCTGAGGCTACTCGTTTCTGAGTTATGCGAGATACGTACGTACATACGTTCGTACAGACGCCACGAAAAATTCTCTTCAGAATTCATTTTAAAGCAGTTTTATAATTTTTTGGGAGGAAAAGAGTCCTTTATTCTCTCCTTACGTACAGATGTCACGTAAAAACATCGTTAAATTTCATTCGAAAGCGGTCAAAATGGATATTTTTGTTGAGGTATGCTGCCTGAAACTTTTCGCGATTACAATGCTTCCTTTTTAATTCGTAGAAGGAAGTAAAAAAGGGGCAAACGATAATTCTAATTTTGATTTTATACAAAAATATTTGTGTACGAAGACTTTTGTGAGATAAAATGTTTATCCTTTCTTAAAAATAAAGTTTCGCTACATTAAAAAAATATTTCATGTATTTTTGTTACGAATAGACTATAGATCTTATTATTAAAATCTCATTCAGAAAGTTTACTTTTAATTAATGGATAGAGCCCTATTTCAATGAAAATCATAAGTGTACGAACACTTTTGGGAACCACTGTATATATAAATATATTTATATACGTTTGGCGCGGCCGATTGCAACCAAAATACGAGGTGCACATCTACATGTTATAGTAGTCCTATATACAAAATTTCAAAGTTCTGAGGCTACTCGTTTTTGAGTTATGCGAGATACGTACGTACGTACGTACGTACATTGAAATATGCTGCCTGAAACTTTTCGGGATTACAATACTTCCTTTTTACTTCGTACAAAGAAATAAAAAAATAAAAAATGGGGGGGGAAGGGGTACAACCTAAGAACAATTTTAAATCTAGTTAGGAAGCTAACATTAAAATAAGAAAGGAAAGTATAATAATAATAATAAAAATTTTAAAATAAAAAGGGGGAATATAAGCTTGGAACACGAGGCAAAATGCTTGCTTCTTCCATTAGACACAACAACAACTAAGAAACATAACATCAGAGAAGAGTAGATCTCATACATTTTCTAGAACACCGCAGCAGACAAATGCATATACGCATACACAGTTTGAGCAGTGCTCAAATTGCGCCGGAGCCCACCGGAGCCCGGCTCCGGTACTTCTCAATTTTTAAGATAAATTACAATTCTAGCCGGAGCGTACCGGAGCCCTAAATAACATCGTGTGACTGACGATCAACTCGCTAGACTAGGCACTGACTGACTCGCTAGACTCTCCACGTACCAGGAGGGTTTATATAACTTTTAGCTTGCGTTCGAGAACATTCTGGGCCAAACAATCAGAATTCGTTCCAGAAGGTTCTCCATCCGTCAATGGCATGTCGCCAATTTCGTCGCCAAATGGGCGATTTCGCACCAAGTATGGCAAACTTGCTTTCCCTTGTCGTTTTCTGGCAACCCTAAATCTGCTTTACTGGAAAGCTATCTTACCGCAACTGGACATTTCGTAACAATATATATATATATATATACATGTAAGTTATAACAAAATACGATGGCTGCGCTAAGAAACGACTGGCGACCTCAAAATTAACTTTTACGAATTTGGTGTTCTTCCCCCTAAGTACATCTGTTCTCCCAGATTCGAGATCTTTCAATGTTACATAACATCCTAAAATTAACCAATAGCAGCTTAGATATACTTATGCATCTACTTGGTATAAATACTGCTTTGCAATAAACTACGTCATTGCTTTTCCTGGCTTCCAACAAGCGAACAACTCCACGCTGTTATGCTCATTTTCCTAAAATGACGTCGTAACCGTTTACCTGTGTATATAAAAATTATTGTAATTACTAATAATCTAGTAGTATCTAAAATAAAGATTGGTAATTCATCAAAATCCAGTTTTGTTATCGTTATCTGTATATCTTTCCACTCAGCCCCAAAGCCCCACCAGCGGCCGAGCGGTAAAGTCGCTGAACACTGGTAGTTCGGTTCGAGGTTCGAATCCCGCAAACGGGCTGGCTGCATGGGTGTTTTCGTGTAACGTGTATACGAGCCAGTTTCCTTAGAAAGTCCTCTACGAAGGCATCTCTTAGGCAGATAGCCCTTGAGGCTTTGCTGAAATTGAATAACCTAAATTAACCTTCCACTTAGCCCCGTCTACAGCCACAAGTACCGGATTCCTCCTACTCACTTAAAATATCACACACCACACACACACACACATATATATATATTTTATTTCCTGAACAATATTGATTAATTGATTATATTATCTCCTAAGTTTAATTAAAGTAGAATTATTTTAAAAGAGTGAATCCATACTGGTAAGTTATATTTTGAAAGATGTTTTTAAGTAATTTGAAAGCAAATGTTAATAATGTTTAACGGGGACTGGAGTTAAATCATCATGAAGAATAAAATTTCAATTGTAAAAGGAAAATTAAAAACATGTATCAATGTCATTGATCGGAAATTAGTTGACTTTCAAGGGACAAAACCAACTCCCGTCAATGAACAATAATTGATAAAAATACGTAAACGAAGGTGTTTCGTCTTTACTCGAGTTATAGTTAAAGCCAAACCGGCA